CTGTGAACTAAATACTAGAAAGTAGCACATGTTTTTATTAACATGGATTCAATGTACTAGCTCCCAATCTCCTACACTCCCATAAACCTCTTATAGTTAGTTTATAACAAGATGACAGTCTAACTTGGAAAAAACATATGTGATACAAAGTAACTGCCAGCTAAGAAGAACACCAGGATAAAGCACTCAATTAGAGAAAATGCTACATTTCCTATTCTGACCACACTCTCCAGATACCATATAACTGACTCTCAAGGCTCTCCTCCCAACCTTCCAGCTTCACTAAGGAGCTTCACTTTAAAAACATTTCTTCAGCCTCCAGATTCAAACATTTCTTCCTTCAGAAGAGCGTTCAGCTAAACCTCTTCCTCCCAGTTCCAGGGCCACCTCATCCAGGTCTCCATGAGTCAGATTCAAGTGACTTTGTCTCCCACGTAGTTCCGAGGCCCTTCCAGCTCTGCACACATGAGCACATGTCACAGTGCACCCCCCTCCCCACGTGGGGACAGGGCCACCTGAACCTCTGTCGTTACATCTTCCAGTTCCAGCCACTGGAAATGAACAAAGGGACATGCTCTCGTGTCTAAGTGCAAACCCGCTCAGCACCTACACCCACTCCTGGACAAGCCCCCACGGTGGGGGTGTCAGGTCACATAAGGGCCCCACAGCTCCCGCTGGACTGGGGAGGCACAGAGATGGGGACAAAAGGAACACAGCACTGCTTCCTGGGATGTCATGTCGCTAGGCTTAGCAAACACGGGCTGTCTTCCTTACGGCTGCACTAGGGCCTTCTACAATTAACTTAAAAACAATTTCAGTCTGGTAACTACTTATGTGATGGCTAGTAACTAATTTGATATTCTCCAAGTGACCAGTTGGAACAGCAAGGAGACGCTACATTCTGTATGTTTTCATGGATCCTAAAGCAATTATTTAACTATTATTGGGAGCTAGTACATTGAATCCATGTTAATTATTGCTTTCTTTGATGGTTACAGTTAACTACTTTTCACCAGGGTCCACAGGCTGAAGCCTCGTCCTGCAGAGGGCACAGCGCATCGGCAGCAGTGCAGCCCCATGGGTCCCCCAGCAGCCAAGGTGAATCACAGAGCACAGACGGTGATAAAGCCGGGGCTTCAGCAGTGGCTGCCAAAGCTGCTAAGGGAGATGGACAACACCACCGCTTCCTAACAGATGCGTGCACTGCTGCCTGTGAGGCAGTTGCGGCAGAAAACATCAAACCTGAACCTGATGAAATCTCCGGGTCCAACAACCAGCTCACAGGAATGACAGGGGAGAGGATGTAAGGATTTGTGGGCACCCACTCCATAAAGCAGACCGGGGGGAGACCACACAGGACATGTGACCATTTCCTCAGCAGGACAAAGCGGGAGACAGAGCCTGTGGCAAAGGCGTGGAGCACGGGGGGGGGGGGGGGGGGGGGGGCATGCCACTGTGTCTGGACCAAACAAATCCACTGTCAGAGAAAAGAAAATTCAGGAGGCAGCAAGGGAAATCCAAACGCTGGATGTTTGATGATAGTGAGAAATTGTTACTAATTTTAAAGGTTTGATAATAACATTGTGGTTAGGTTTTTTTTTAAAAGAACCTTTATCTTTTATTGAAGTATTTACAGACAGAATAACCTGTCATTTGTGATTTGCTTCCAAATAACTGGGGGATGAGTGGGACGAAGATAAGACGAGTGTGGTCCATAACATGGTAATCGCTGAAGCAATAGAAGTGCACTCACTGCTCTATTTTTATGTTTGAAATTTTCTGTAGTAAGAAGTGCTGGTGTTTAGAAAGAGCCATGCTCACTGCAGAGAATTTGGAAAACACAGAAAAGGAAAAAGGAAAAAAAAAAGAATCCCCCCAAATTTACCAGTAGCAGAAGCCACCACAAACAAGTTTTGTTTTTACTGTCATTGTTCAAGTAGTCCACGTTTATTATAAAAGTGTTAGGGGTTGGGAAAAAATAGGTGAGGGAAAGGAAGGGGTGCATATGGGTCTTCCTTCAGTTCACATAGAACAGCCAACTCAGGTTCCAAATCTGACGGTAGGTACAAAGAACTACAGTCACACACATGCACAGCCGCACCCATCCCGACTCCCGGCAGGCTGGTAGGCATGCACACCCGTTCCCTCGGCAGGCGGGTTGTCCACTCAGGAAACCACGCGAAGTTCCACGCGAAGTTAAGAACACCACTTTCCTTCTCTTTGAGCTGCAAAGTCACTCAGTCATCGGGTTGTTAACTCAACAAACACAACTCAGTTGTGCGCACCTCCTGTCAGTCTGTTCCCGTGCTGCCTCTCCTCAGCTCGGCCCCCAGGAAGCTTCTCGGCTAGGAGGGGCCCTCGGAGTGGGACATCCAGCCTGCCAAGGTCACGGAAGCAGCGTCAACGGCTCCAGCCCCTGGGAACTTTCCTGCCTGGGGCTGCAGTGGGCTCTTGAGAGTGGCAGTCTCACACATCAGCTCTAAGTTGTGTCCCAAGAAACTATTTTTTCCATAAATTGATTTAAAAATATTGGTATTTTGGAAAAAAATGATTGTAGTAACAAATGGGGGTCAACACTGGTAGTCCCCTTAACCAGCATGCTGTCTTGAGTGGGACAGAAAAGGGAGGAATGGCAGAGTGGGGCTATCCTGGGGTTGCCAAACATGCCAAGACCCTAGAGAGGGGAGACCCTGGTAGAAAGCAGCTTTGGGCCCTGGGAACTACCCCAGCAAAAATCCCCCAGACTCAGGGCACACGCTGCCGCCCTACACAGACGCCACCAGTGGGGAAAGACTGCGCAGCCCCAGAACGCAAATAAAAGCTCCAAGTCCCACACAACTGCAGCTCATGAAATCCAAGCACGGTCAACCAAGCATCAATACAGTAAGAATTTCAAATCTATGGTAAAAAAATGTGTAACTTCAAATATTAATGGCAAAATTGCATACCAAAGCCTGAGAGGAAATAGTACTGCCATTCTTTGAAAGTCTGTCATCAATTTCCAACTTTGGAGTGACAAAAATGTATACATTCAACTTCTGGGCTCTGAATTCATTAAAATTTCTTGACTACCTTAAGTGGGATGGGCCAAGGAACCTTGATCTAATGCTTAAAAGAAGTTTATAACAGCCCATTCTACATAGGTGTCTGCAGAGGGTTAAGTTTTCTAAAATAAAACATGTAAAACCACTCAAACTGCTGGCCATGTTCTTAAGGGGCTTTGACAGTTTTCAGAAGCACACAGCCTTCCTCCAGGAGGGGGGACACGGACATCCACTCATGGTGGCTCCTGCGGCCTTGTATGTCTGACATTGCTGCCCACGTGGACAGTGCTCAGACTCACAGCTTTAGTCAGACAGGCACAGGGCTGTGAGACATCCTGATGGTCAGGCTGCCAGCCCCACCACAGTGCTGCAGGCCCGCTAAGAAGGTGAGCTCCCCAGCAGGCATGACCCTGCAGGGCCTATGAACGGCAGTACTGGCCTATTCAGTAGATGATCATAGGACTCCACAGGCTGAAATCTCTTCCCCTTGAGTTAAGAGAACATAATAGTGCCTTGGAGATTCCAAAAGCTAGGCCTCGGTCAGGAGCACACACTTCAGCCAGGCAGGGGCCTCTGAAAACCAGCCTCTCAGTGCAAGCACTTACAGACCCCAGACGGTGTGCAGCTGAGCACAATCAGGCGCGTAGGCGCTTCAGGGCAGGGAGGAGAGGAGCTGTTTACATGCTAGTTTCTCACAGGAGCATCTGGCCTGAAAGGCATTTGGAGAAGGAAAGGAGAGAGTGGGCAGGCTACCAAAAGACGGAACTAGAGTCATAACAATCACAGGATGGGACAACTGTTATTCCCCTGTCCTGATTTTGCTCAAAGGCGTACCTTTCCTGTTTGGGAGAAGAAGGGATGCTCTCCCTCTCAGGCCCACAGGAGGGTCCCTGTTGGTGCCACACAGGACAACTGACTCAGCCCACTATTTACAGCCAAACATGCCAAGACCCTAGAGAGGAGAGACCCTGGCAGAAAGCAGCTTTGGGCCCTGGGAACTACCCCAGCAAAAATCCCCCAGACTCAGGGTGCTGACGGATGAGAGAGTAATTATACAGCAGAGATGACTCTGCAACGTGCACGCTGGAGAAATATAAACACCGGCGAGGAGTTAAAAGCAATTACTACCCAGAAAAGAAAGTGCCTAAAGAGGAAATGAGTAATTAAATAGGCTTTCTCCTGATCAACAGATCTTGAGAAAGCAGGGATCTCTGGGGGCAGGGCAAATGGGGGTTTAAAGTGTCTGTGAGAACAGGAAGAGGAGAAAGTGGGCACCTGGAGGACCTTCTGAAGCACAGGGCACGGCAGCCCAGCCCCCAGGTCCTCCCGTTTCCCCTTCCTGCCCGGAATCCTGGCTGCGGCAGAGCGGGGCCAGCAACACCGCGCCCCTAGGGCCATGCCTCAGGTGGACGGCCAGGGCACTTACTGCCTTTCCCTGCCCTGGGGATGGGAACGTCCCCTCCCCATCCAAGTCGCGGCAGGTTCAGACCTGGCCCCACTGCGGGGCGCAGCCTCAAAGGGCGCTGCTCCCGGGGGACCCCGCACCTTTGGGAGTCGCACCACCTGATGCAACCCTTCTTGGGAGCGCGTGCGGGGGCGACTCTGGGGCCAGGCCAGGGGGAGACGCTTGTGGACCACTCGGGGCCCAGGACGCGGTGGGGCCAGAGTGAGCCAGTGTCCACGTCGGGTGTTGGGGGCAACGGGAGCGGCCCTGAACCCCGGCCCAGGAGGAGCAGGGGTGACCCTTGGGGCTCAAGCTGGGCGGGTGTCAGGGGTGTTCTCCGGGTTCGGGCCGTGTGTGATCCCCTGTCCAGGTCGGCTGGGATCGGGCCCGGAGCCCGGGCCCGAGCTGCGGTTGATGTGTCCCCAGGGTTTAGGCTGGGCAAGGCTGGGGGTCGAGGTGACTCCGGGTGTAGGTCGGGTAGGGAGCCGGGGCGAAGCCGGCCGCACACTCACTGTTTGGGCAGCTGCAGGGCGGGCGCGCCGCGCCGCTGGAAGGCCCCGTCCACGAAGACGCCGTTCTTGCCGAGGCAGCGCAGATAGAAGTGCGGCTCCTGGAAGCTGAGCTGCAGATGGCGCCGCGAGATGAAGCTCGACAGGCCCATGCTCAGGTCCACCGAGCCCTGCGACGAGTTGCGGCCGATGGTGACGCTCGGCTGCCGCATGAGGAACTCGAACTCGCGGCCCTCGAGGCGCGCCAGCGCAGGCCCGGGACTGCGGCGCACGCAGGCGGCGGCGGCGGCCACCAGGGCCTCGCCCGCCGGGCCCCCCGTGTCCGCGCCCGGGCCCCCCGCGGCCCCCGCGATCGCGCCCGGCGGCGGTGGCGGCGGCGGCGGCGGGGGCTGCGCGGGCGGCGGCGGGGGCTGCGCGGGCGGCGGCGGGGACGG